GGTGGGAGCCAGTAGAAACTCACTTCTGCTCCAGAGTCCTTCATTGCAGGAACACTTCCTGCCAAACCCAGAAGACGCACCATCTCTCTGTCTCCCTGCTCTGACTTCCATTATAATTTATGTCAACCGTCCCATATAAGCTGTGAAAGTGGAAACCTGAGAAGGAGGTCAATGCTACTACCAAGTGTGGGACAGGAAAGACTACAGTCTGGCTACACAACTTTGGCACATAGGCAATTGCAGAGGGAAATGGCAAAACTGCTTCACATGGTTTCCAATTCGGCATATGGGCTTTGTATAGACATAAATTATAATGGAAGTCAGAGCAGGGAGACAGAGAGATGGTGCGTCTTCTGGGTTTGGCAGGAAGTGTTCCTGCAATGAAGGACTCTGGAGCAGAAGTGAGTTTCTACTGGCTCGCACCGGTTTGGGCAAACTGGTAATGATAATTTAGCCTGGGTTGGAGAACCAGCAGCAACCCAAGCTGGTCATGCCCCCAAACTGGTTTCCCGGTCTCTGCTCCTGTTACCCACATGGTTTTCATTAGTTTTTCATGGTCTTCATCATGCACAGCACAGTTTACAGTGACATGTATGCACGCGAGAAGCAAGAAACCCACTGGTACCAATGCCGGTAGAAACGCACTCCTGCCCTGGAGGGCCTGTGGGCCAGAGGAGCAGCAATTAGAGGGGCCATCCACACTCATAGGCAACTTAGAAACCAAATATTCACCTCAGAGGCTGAAGGAAGATTTCAATTTGGGGTTTTCTCAAGCTGCAGGACTGCTCTCTGTCCTCTATGCATGCATAGAATTCCAGTCCCTTAATGGTATATCAGTCATTTAGAAATCTTAACAGTGATGGGACAAGCATACAGACTTTTGTAGAGAGCTTCTACTCCAGCCCAGCGGAAGGAAAACACACAGGTCCCACCGAAAAGTCACATTGTAGTTGACCTATTTTGCTAGGAAGCTCCAGCTGTGCCTCCTATTTGGAATTACCTGAGGGGGACTTTAGGGTCATTGGCACAAACCCAGAGGCACATGAAGTGAGAGGTTAAACTTATTCTATTTTAACGTTCCCCACCTATTGCTGGCCTGGAGGCTGGGGAAGCAGGGGAAGCAGGTGTGAAGAAGCCAGTCTCCAGACAGGAATCAAGGAAAGACTTGGTGATGCTTTGAAAGGCACCCAAATGTTTGGGCAAAGCTCTTGAGGGATCAGAGCCCCAGGGAAAGATTGAAGGCACCCCTCCCCTCTTCAAGGAAGCAGTCAAGTATTTCTGTCAAAAGGAAGAGGGGGAAGAAAAAATATGACTCAGTGCCTTCTAAAAACTATCCCAAACCCTAATAATTCCATTTTGTGCCTGACCACACAATCCATTTGTGGAAGGTAGAACTTGGCGTCTCCTTTTCTCCCTCTGAGGGCAATTTGAGAACTCAATTTGAGAACCACGTATGTTTTTATGTACTCTCCTCACTCTGCTCAGCTGCGGAATTCTGGGAATTGAAGTCCACCCTTTTGAAAAGTTGCCGAATGTGAGAAACACAGTGTCATGGCAGCCTCCCTCAGTTACCAAGAAATAAACCACTCAACTCCATTTTGAAGAATTAAGAGTACTTTTACTGGTCATTGGTAGATAGCAGCTAGGCAAAGCAAGTTCTGAGGCAAAAGTGCACATCATCATAGATATCAATATGTGACCCAACCCACTCCCCATTGGGGCCCCATAGTCCAATCCGCACATCCCACAGGTGTCATGTGGGAGACATCTTCAAAAAGCATCATCAGGCTGGTATGCCGGACAGTTGGCCTTGGCGGAAAATCCTCTATCTGCACATCCATAGTAGATGGTGTGAACAACTCCCTTTTTACAGTCACTCCTGCACTGAATACTTCCCCACCCAAATACCATGCCCTTCCCCCTCCCCGTTTCAATGGCCGCTGAAAGTAAGCAGCAAAACAGAGGCTGACAAACAGTTATTCTGCAGTGTCAGCTATTTGCAGGAAAGCAAAACTGAAGGCTGTCCAAAGCTCCTTTCTGTGTCTTGTAAAGCAGGTGTTTTTAGTACTCTTGCCTGTTGGAAACCTGGGCTTTGATTAGGCAGGACTGTATGTGATAGGAAATAGCAGGAAACTTTATTATTTGAAAGAAGAACCTGTCAGACCTGCCACAGCTGAAACCTCATCTAATTGAATTCACTTGGACTTCAGTAAGGCATTTGATAAAGTAGACCATAACCTACTACTAGATAAAGTAGAAAAATGTAGGTTAGACAGCATCATCACCAGGTGGATTCATAACTGGCTGACCAACCACCCTCAATGTGTAGTCCTCAATGGAACTGCTTCATGCATCATAAATATATATGCCCATCGCCAGGTGCCCGGATTTGGCTGATGTGACTGTGGGGATGCTGTGATGGTTGTAAGGGTGAGGACTGGTCATAAGTCACTTTTTCCAGTTAAGGTGAAAATTCAAAGGGCCGCTAGATGAATGGTTTTAAGTTGAGGACTACGAGTATGTGAAAAAAATGAAACTGGGGGCCACCCAATGCTATTTTTCTTTTCCTGTAAAGCAGGTGTTTTTAGTACTCTTGCCTGTTGGAAACCTGGGCTTTGATTAGGCAGGACTCTATGTGATAGGAAATAGCAGGAAAGTTTATTATTTGCA